AAAAGAGCAAGGCTTCTTTGTGTTGATGAGGAGCCAAGTTTGCTTGTCTCAAATTAGACCTCACCTAAATGAGATTACCCGGCAAAAGCAATCTCACACATCTCAGAGAGTTTGTAACAGCCTCGTTTGTAATTATATTTTGGGAAGGATTCCTGTCCTGATGTAGCTCTGCAGGAACATTAAACTTTCTGGCTGTCCCACGATCACATTATGAAGGAGTTGTGTTCTGTGTTACAAATCAAGCCCTGCGAGGAGTTGTTTGCTTTTGTTTTCCAATGTCTTTCATGGGCTTGTCTCCCCAGGCATCAAAGGCAGGCTTCCCATTATTGAAGTCCCACCCAAACTCATGAGGCCAACTCGCCTCCTCCGCCTCCAAGCCAATGTCTGGGTTCTCAGCATCTTCGTCGCTCCACATGTCGTGGTAGGCGTACGCGTTGTCGGCAGGCCTGTCTAACCCGTAATCCAGTTCCTTGTCAAAGGCATCTCCGTCACCGCCATTGTCCGCATCGCTGGCATCAGAATTGCCACCCTCATTCCCTTCATCTTCAAAAATGTCATCTTCGTCATCGTTGTCATCCTTGTCATCAACTTTCTCTGGTTTGTCCTCAGGCTTGGGCTTACTCTCAGGGGCAGGTTTCACACTGGACCCTGGCTTTTCATGGGATGCTGGTTTGTCACCAGATGTGGGGCTTGGCATGGTCCACCTGCCCAGAAAGGATGCCTCCAGATGTGGGCTTGGCAGGTCCACCTGCCCAGAAGGATGCTCTCCAGATGTGGGCTTGCATGGTCCACCTGCCAGAAGGATGCTCTCCAGATGTGGGCTTGACATGGGCCACCTGCCCAGATGGATGCTCTCCAGATGTGGGTTAGCATTGGTCCACATGCCCAGAATGATGCTCTCCAGACGTGGGTTTTGGCGTGGTCCCACCTGCCCAGAAGGATGCTCTCCAGATGTGGGCTTGGCATGGGCACACCTGCCCAGATGGATGCTCTCCAGATGTGGGCTTGACATGGGCCACATGCCCAGAATGATGCTCTCCAGGTGTGGGCTTGGCGTGGTCCACCTGCCCAGAAGGATGCTCTCCAGATGTGGGCTTGGCGTGGTCCACCTGCCCAGATGGATGCTCTCCAGATGTGGGTTTAGCATGGTCCACCTGCCCAGATGGATGCTCTTCAGATGTGGGTTTAGCATGGTCCACATGCCCAGAATGATGCTCTCCAGACGTGGGTTTGGCATGGTCCACATGCCCAGAAGGATGCTCTCCAGATGTGGGTTTGGCATGGTCCACATGCCCAGAAGGATGCTCTCCAGATGTGGGCTTGACATGGGCCACCTGCCCAGATGGATGCTCTCCAGATGTGGGCTTGGTGTGGTTCACCTGCCCAGATGGATGCTCTTCAGATGTGGGCTTGGCATGCTCCACCTGCCCAGATGGATGCTCTCCAGATGTGGGCTTGACATGGGCCATGGACCCAACAGGAGGAGCTGGCTTCTTGTCCGTTACTGGCTTTTCCCTGGGGCGGGGTCTGCAGTGGGTCTTGTTCCTAGCACCCGGAGCTGGCTTTCCTATCACCACCGGCTTGCCAGCAGTCGTGGGTTTGCCATGCTGAATATTAGAATCTGGCTTGGCACTGGAGGCTGGTTTCTCTCCAGAGGTAACTCCAAAGACCCCCTCCTGTCTCACTGGGGTCTTTCCAGCGGAAGGAAAGACGGCTTCTGTTCTGTTCTCAGCCTGGGGTCTCTTCTTCTTACAGAGAATGGGAGGTCCTGGCTCCTTCAGGAGATGGGTGCCGCCTTCCTTGGAGATGGGTGCCTCTGGAGAGGAGACCTTTCCTTTGCCCACAGAGGTGCCCTCCTGGCTCTCTGGCCGCTTCTTGGGCAAGCAGTTGCTGAGAGACACCTCTGCATCCTTGATCAGCAGAACACAGAAGCTGATGACCAGAGGCTTTTTTCCCCTGAGAAGGGGCTCCCCCCTGGCGCCGCATCACTGCATCATCACCACCACGGGAAAGAGATGCTGCTGCCGCAGAGGTCTCTGGACCTAGAAAGGAGGGTACAAGGCACAGACAGTCATGGAATCGAAGAATCATAGAACTGGAGGGACCCCCAAGGGCCATCTAGTCCAACCCCCTGCAAAACAGGAATCACAAGCTAATGAATCCCTGACAGATGGCCACCCAAGCTCTGCATAAAAACCTCCATGACCTTCTGAGGTAGCGGTTATTATTATTATTATTATTATTATTATTATTATTATTATTATTCATTGATATTCCACTTTTTCCCCAGAGCAGGGCTCAAGGCGGCTTACACTAATTAAAACAAGGCAGATGAGATACAAAGCATCTACTTATGTTATGGAAAATGCGAAGTATATAAAGGTTTCAAAATCAGGGGGGAAATTATACCAAGTGTGGGGAAACTATAAAAACTTGCTGGAAAGGAAAACACTGTGATGGCTTTCAGCTATTGAAGCCATACCAGTGAGAAAAAGAAGCATGAGAGAAGAATGGGAAACAGAGAGAGAGATCTGTTAACAGAGGTTGGTGGTGAGATTAGATCAAGGAAGTAGGAAGAAAGTAACAGAAAAAGACGATGATTTGGTTACAGCATCACCAACTTAATGAATTATTTAAGTTGGGGAGAAAGAATGATTTTGTAAATCAAATTATTCAGTTAGAAAAGGCCTGCTGAATAGTAATCCATAACGTATAAAATGCTATTAGAAGTGGAAACCTCCCATTATGAGGGCATTAGGTGTGGGTTTTGCTTCGACGGCTGCCAAGGGCCCAAGAGCCACCATCTTTTCCTTTCCTGCGTCTCCCCCCGCCCCCCCCCCCCGGCCTAACGCAGCAACGTCCCATTGCCAGCCAGTGGTGGCAGAGTGCAGAGAGGGTCGGACTGGGACGCTGGGGGGGGAAGAGGCCAGGGCTCCAAATCTCCCCCCCGTCAGCCATGAAGTCCACCGGGTGTGACCTTGGGCCAGGCACTGCCTCCTCTTTGGCCAAATCTCCCTCGCAGGGTTGTGGTGGGGATTCCATCAGGAGAGGGAGAAAACCATGTGTGCCACATCCGAGCTCCTGGGTGGAAAAGGCCGGATATAGCAATGCAACGAACAAGTCCCTCACCAAGGGGAACGTGTATAACAATTTTTTTAATTTGGAAACGTGCTAAGAGGAAGGCACGCTTGGCAAATCCACACCATGATCAACTCCCACCCAGAACCTATGTCTCCACTGGGAAGACGTGTGGATCCAGAATTGGCCTCCACAGTCACTTATGGACTCACTGTTAAGACCGCGTAAAAATGGAAGACAATCTTACTCGGCTATGAGGGATCACCGAAGAAGAAGAAGCATAACAATTGGCTGGAGCTTGATTGTACCCAACAAGTCAACGGATGTTTGCTGAAATGTTGGTCCTTTGGCTGATATGGAAATTTAGCAACACCAGGGAATTGTTAATGGCAGTCTTAAAGGTAAAAGGACCCCTGACCATTAGGTCCAGTCGTGGCCGACTCTGGGGTTGCGGCACTCATCTCGCTTTACTGGCCCGAGGGAGCCGGCTTACAGCTTCCGGGTCATGTGGCCAGCATGACTAAGCCGCTTCTTGGTGAACCAGAGCAGCGCACGGAAACGCTGTTGACCTTCCCGCCGGAGCGTTACCTATTTATCTACTTGCACTTTGACGTGCTTTCGAACTGCTAGGTGGGCAAGAGCAGGGACCGAGCAACGGGAGCTTACCACATGGCGGACCTTCTGATTGGCAAGTCCTAGGCTCTGTGGTTTAACCCACAGCGCCACCCGCATCCCCAATGGCAGTCTTACATCTATACATTTATAATAAAAATTCAAAAGAGGGGAGAGGAAGAATGAGCCACCTATTAATTCATGGAAATAAACTGGGGGGAGTGGGAGAAGAGCCAGGCATGATCCATAGCAGCTCAGCTGGCTCCATCTTCCTGTCCAGGCAGTGCCAGGCAGCCCAACCACAGAAGCCACCAAATTGCAGAGGCTGCCGGCCAGAGCTATTTCTGATTTTACGGGGCTGCCAAGTCCAGAAAGGGAGTTTCAACAGGCAGAGTGAGAATCCGCTTCTGGTGACCAAGCAGCTGGGGCAATTATCCCAGGCGTTTCAAGAACTGGAAGTAATGAAGGGTTTGTCGTGTCACAATGACCCAGTTAGCCGAAAAGGTCGTGGGTTGCTTAACATTATGAGACGGCAAAAAATAAGGCCGCCCTGGTTGCAACATGCCTCTGCCTACATATTCTGTTCCAGGAGGCCCCCGGTGTGAGCCAGGGTTCTCCCCCCCAATCTCTTTCTTTTATATCGATGTGAGTTTGGTGGGTGAGCCTGGAGGGTGCCTGAGTCCCTTCCGATTCTGGGTGGCCCAGTACCCACTAAGGGTATCAGCTGATGGAAGGCTCCGTCGCTAAACTGGGCGGTTGTTAAGATAATAGGCGAAGCTTTCCATTTAAGGATCAGCGTTCGCTTTGTGCCAGAGGGCAAAGGCGTGGGGCATCCCTCTTCCTCACCTGGCAGGTAGACAAAGAACAACAGGTGTGAGTTGTGTGTGAGGCAGCGGGAGGAGAATCTGGGACCCAGTTGCTGCGCTTGGCATCCAACTCAAGTTTGATTCAGGCTGGGATCCAAGGCTGGGATTGAGGGAGAAGCAAGATGGGATATAGGTAGAACACAGAGTTGTAGAGCTGGGAGGGATCCCAAGGGTCATCTAGTCCAGCCCCCTGAAATATGGGGAGCTCAGCAAAAGCATCCCTGCCAGGTGGCCACCCAACCTCGACTTAAAAATCTCCCAGGAAGGAGGGGCCACCACCTTCCCAGGGAGTCCTTGTACCAAACTCCTGCAATTCAGGCGGGGTGACCTTCTGGGAATCATTCCTAAAGCCAAAACTGCATATAGTCAAAGCCCTTTGGGTTCTGTGGTGGGGGGGGGATTTCCAAAGTCATTTCCCCCAGAACCCAGTCCCTTCTCTAGAAGGAAGTTTTTAATGTTCGGTGCTCTGTTATGGTTTTATAGTTTGTTGGAAGCTGCCCAGAGTGGCTGAGGAAACCCAGTCAGATGTGTGGGGTATATAATAATAATAATAACAACAACAACAACAACAACAACAACAACAACAACAACAACAACAACAACCCGGGCTCAGGGTGGCTAACATCAGTAAAATTACAGTAAGAAACATAATGGGGGGGGACCCAATTTAAAATACAGTTAAAATGCAATTTTAACAAGCATCCTCATTTTAAAAGTAGCCCATAAATCAAAATCAAGACCATAAGGGGAGGGAAGCATAAGGGTCAGACTGAGTCCAAACCAAAGGCCAGGCGGAACAGCTCCATCTTGCAGGCCCTGCGGAAAGATGTCAAGTCCTGCAGGGCCCTGGTCTCTTGTGACACAGCGTTCCACCACGTCGGGGCCAGTGCTGAGAAGGCCCTGGCCCTAGTTGAGACCCAATCTAACCTCCTTGAGGCTCGGGACCTCCAAAGTGTTGTTATTTGTGGACCTTAAGGTCCTCCGCGGGGCAGACCAGGAGAGGCGGTCCCGTAGGTACGTGGGTCCTAGGCTGCATAGGGCTTTAAAGGTCAAAACCAGCACCTTCAACCTGACCCTGTACTCCACCAGGTAGTAGTAGTATCATCATCAACAACATTAATTCTGCACTTTTATTTTTTAA